TTATCGTGATAGAAGTCTCCTTCGCGATAAGCTACCAAGAGCCGCGAGGATAGTAACCATCGATCGCTTGATGAGTTGATGTCCAAATGCAGCACACAGTGACACGCAGTTGAGCTGACTCCACAGGATAGGGCGGCTCCAACCACATCCACGCGACAAAGCCATGAGATGGGCCTCGTCATCCGCCTCCCACTGCATTTCAGCAGGCCATACACCATCCACCTACCTTCAGACCCAGGTTTATCGCGACAAAAGCCTGCATCATCTTTATAGGCACAAGCACTACATGATCTGACATCCTCTTGGTGATATTGTCTCGCAGAATGTGTCAATTGTCAAGAATCGAGAACGACCCCGCAGCAGCTGAGGAGAACAGGACCAGCCCCCTCACACCAGCATTCTCATGCCAACGCCTTAACTCAACCACATTTGTCGTAAAAGAGAACGATAGATGGGGCGAGGAACCATTGATTTATGTCAAAATCTACCTGCACGATATTGTACTCATTGATTCGGGCTGTGGAGGATCGACACAGACGCCCTCCATAGATCTCACGCTCAAGGTGTATCTCGAGACGATTCCAGTACCTGACAATGAAGGTCTTCCACTAAACCGGTCTGGTGTGAAACCGTATACAATTATCTCTACTCATTGTCATTATGATCACATCGGTACGGTTCGTTCATCTTCTTACCACCAAGACCTTCTGACTCTAGCAATCTAGGAGGAATGCCTGAGTTTATGAGGACCTCCGGACTTGCCGTCTGGGCAAGCTCTGCGGGGAAAGACTATTTGACAGATCCTCATAAGCTGAAAAGCGCCTCGCTATGTGCTTTCGTCGGCATGGAGCTGCCAAGGTATCATGTTACCCACTGGGCAGAGGATGGTGCTCGAGTGGTCAGCAGTTCTGGGGAGGACCTGAACTTGGTGGTTTTTCAGACACCAGGTCACATGCCCGATGAGATTGCTATTTGGGATGCGAAGAACCGCGTCTTATTTGTTGGTGATACGGTTTATGAGCGCGCACCTATCCTTTTTCCGGAGGGCGGAAGTATCTCCGAGTATCGAGATACAATTGATAGGTTACAGCAGCTCGTTCATGGTTGGAATCAAGAGGAAGAAGTCAATTGCAGTAAGTGCTTCACATGCCTGAGCTCCAATTCCGCCTCTCCGCGCAACTCCTCCTAAGCTACTTCTGAGCAGGCAAGGTCACGATTGCCTCGGGACACATCACCAAAAACGCGGATGCGGCTAGATTACTTGCTCAGACTAGGTCATTTCTGTCTAGAGTCCTTGCCGCAGAGGTCTCTGTGGAGGACCTTGGGATTGATTGTGCGTGGTTCGGAGGGAAGCCGGCAGTCCAGTTTAAGGATGGAGAGAAAGGCATAACATTTCAGGGTTTAAAGACGTCTTTTGAAGGCTTGGTATGATATCAATTTCATAGACAGGGCAGCGATACGCAACAATCATTGCAACTGATAATTGACATATAGCAAGATCACCTTGACTCTAGAACAGAGCAATACTGTTCCCAGCCCTGTTCACGCGTTCACAGGCCGCGTGGATGGGTTGGCCAAGAAAGGACTGTCTCTATTCACTGCATGCGCTGCCGAGTTGGAAAGCATCACTCCAGAGTGCAACACCTTTCTCACTTACTCAATTCATGAAATTGAACGAGACAAGTGTGTTCCTGCTATGGTCAGTGCTGAATGTGTAGGTAGTTATAATAGGGAGCAAGACCGACCTTAGTCTTTGCGAATCGGTCATCTGAAAAGACCTCAACACGTGCAGTGATGCCTGGAGCTACACCTTCGAATCCTGGCGCGATGGACGTCCTGTACTTTCGATAGAGAGCGGCAGTGACGGTGGTCATTTCCGCCATGGCCAAGCTACCGGCGGTTAGCCCACAAACTGTTTGCTGGAACGACAGCTGAAGTCTTCACTTACTGCATGCCGATACACATTCTTCCACCACTCGAGAACGCCCAAAAATGACGGTTTAATTCAACCGCTTCCGGCCCTAGCCATCTCTCCGGGTTGAACGTCCTGGGGTCTTTGAACACCTTCGGATCACGGTGAATGATATAAGGCGACATCCCGACAACAGTGTTGGGTGGAATCTGGAAGCCGTCGACTATTGACTGGGCATCCATGGATCTCGGTTCGGTACTCGGCAGGGGCGCGTAAAGTCTCAATGTTTCTTTGATGACCGCATTGAGATATGTGCATCGATCTGAGGCGTCCACGCGTGGATGTCCATGCTCATTAAGAGAATCTCCTGTCAGGTCCATAACCTCGTCTCTAAACTTAGCCTGGAACCTTTCGTTCTCGGGAAGAGAGAGCGCCCAAACCAGAAACATGAGGGTATCGCTCGTTGTATCGATTCCCGCAAGGAAGTGGTCTGCGCATTCCGAAGCCAATTGCATGTCATTCATACCGTCGGGCCGTTGCGACTCGTGATGGCACCATAGCTGGCCAACTATGGATGAGTCTTCCGCATGGCTCGACTCCTCCGAAACCTTCAAGTCCTCCTGCGCTGATTTGAGGTTCTGAAAAGCTTGCAACGCGAATCTCCGTATGCTGGTATAAGTAGTCGGCTGTTGCATGGGCAGGATCGGCTTTACAATCCGGTCCATGAAGGGTTTGCACGAGTACAGCCACTTTGTGTATGATGGAAAGTGCACCAAGAACCACGATAGCCGGCGGCGAGATGGGTGCAAGATATCGTCAATCAAGGCTTGATCATTCTTCGACCCCTGCAGGGCACGCGTTGACCCGTGTTGTCCGTAGACAAAAGCGGTGATGTTGTCGAGGGAGTAGTAGTGCATCGAGAGGAAGACATCGCTGATGCCCTGTGGCTCAGTGCTGATCAGGTCAAGATACTGTCGGGCCTTCTCCTCCACGAGGCGTGTCGTTGGCTCCTTCAGCACAACCGACTTTGAATAGGCATGGGAAAGTAGTTTCTTCCTGTTGCCATGTTCCTTCGTCGAATGGAATGTGAACAGGTTCTGCTCGCCGTACACATCAAACATGCGGTAAAATCTTGTCCTGCCAAATCGACTGCCGGGCCCGTAGATGGTTCGCAATGCACTCAGGCTGTTGAAAGACACCTCGTTTGGCCCGATGCGCACTACCAGACCATATTCGGAGTGCAATCGATGGATGGTTCGCGTACGTGTTGCATTCCAGTCTTCCCAAGCCAGTCGCCAGCTGGTGAGGGCAAAAGACTTTGGTCCAGGGATATCGCTCAATGGGCTGGTGATCAATGGTTCTATAATCAGGACTTTAACGATGTAAACGAGGGCCGCAACCAGCGCTGCGGCAGCTGATAGAAAAGCTACTTCCGGCATGATGTATCTTGATGCCTAGGTAGCATTTGATGGTGTCTCTGTGGATGTGATATTTGAAACCAGTCGATCTCGTTTGATACAAAGTCTACCTTATCTGGCGAAGGAACAACTATTAATACAATTCGCGGGAACACACCTCGGTTCGAGTCAATGGAATTGACGAGTCGGAGAGCAGCGATTGATAAGTTTTTGACAAGTGACCAGCGCCCTTTCGTAGCGCTGTTGGGGTGCGGAGTATGCTGTGTCCGTTCAGCCCCAGCTTGCTCCCGCCTGTAACGTATCTAAGCTGTTAGCTTTAACGGTCTGTGAAAGGACGCGACGATTGTCGTGAGACTTAAGTGGGCTATTCCGCAGATCACTTCCCTGTTCCTGGCCCTAAATTCAATTGAAGCGATGCAGAAAGTAGGTACAAAACGTTGTTAAATTTGCGGCATCGATGAGCATTTTCTGCAAAGCCCTTGACGTCACCAACTCGGCTGCCAACGTGAACATGATTGAGATTTTCGAGATCGAACGTGCGGCTTCCCAGTCACCAGCGTCTGGAATACTTTTGAACTAAAAATGACCATATATTGGTAAGGGTCTCTCCATGGTCCATAGGTCCGACAAGCACGTTATAAGGGCCATGATACATCCCTTCGCCGGTCGGAAGGCGTACACTATCCGGGCACATTCACCGGCCATCTCAACCAGACGCAGTATGGAGTTACCATTTTGGGTACCCAAGACGTTGCCTCGATGCTTATGGGCTTGTTCTGTCTCCTTATGAGGTCGCGACGAGGGCTCCAGGATGACTTTCTCGACTAAGCTGATGTTACCGACTTTGCTAGGCGCAGAGGGAAAAAAATAATCTCGGGTTATTACTTACAAGCAGGGTAGTCATTGCCGCGGCGGTTGTATCTATAAGAGAGTGGCGCGAGGGACACTATTCCCAGAATGTTTGATAGCCATCGATTCTCACTGCCTTGTAGCAGAGAGGGCGCTTAATCGAAGGCATGGGCACCGTCAGTCAGGGGGCAAGCATAAGCAAGCGTAACTGTGGCACCAAGCCTTTTGCCGTCACGTGCTGGAATTCATCCGCCAAACTTACCTATCTAAGTATTGAATCGCAGAATGAAGCACAAACTTGACACTTCATGGAACAGGATATTCTTGTCACTCGGTGAGACGGATTACTAAATGACATGCCCCACATCCCTCCTCTTCGTGGCGGGGTATTCCTTTGGCAGTAGGTGGCTGATGTCGTAGTAGGGCCAAGCTCGTATTTCGTCATGGCCAGGTGGTCATTCAACCTTCGTTTCCAGTCCAATTGCCATCTATCACAGACCCGGACAACAACTGTGTAGTATAACAAATTGACACCATGGGAGACGCCTGTTTGTTTCACCCTCCGACGACTTTGATCGTCGGCGGGAACGGCAAAACCGCACGTCACCTCACGTCGCTCCTCACCGCCGCAAACCCCGCCCACGCCGTCTACAGCATCATTCGCAACCCTGACCAGGTTCCCTCGCTCATCGCCATCGGCGCTCATCCCATTGTTCAAGACCTAGTCTCCGGCACGGTGGAAGATTTTGTCAAGATCCTCGAACGCACCCAGCCCGACACCGTCGTGTGGGCCGCCAGCAACCCCCGCGCCCCTGTCGAGGTCGACCGTGACGGCGCCATAAAGGTCATCGACGCCCTCGCTCAGGCTGAGATTCCACGGAAGCGCTACGTCGCCATCAGCTCGGCTGATGTGCGCGACCGGAAGAAGCCAACACCTGATTGGTACAGTGAGGCAGACATCAAGCTGAGCGACCGCATGTGGGGTGTTATTGAGCCGGCACTGAGGGCCAAATTCGAGGCCGACAAGGACCTGCGTGTCAACAATCGGAGCCGGGGAATCGAGTACACCATCATTCGGCCTGGCGGTCTGACAGAGAAGGAGGCCGAGGGCCGAATCAGGGCGGGCAAGGTCGGTCTCCAGGGCATGATCAGCCGTGCCGATGTCGCCGCTGTGCTCTTTGCTGCGATCAAGGATGAGTGGACCACGGGCCTGGCATTCGATATCCTGGGTCCCGGGGAGGGTGATTTGCCGATCAAAGAAGCTGTTAGGGGCGTGTCTGCGAAGCGCGAGGATACTTTTGATGGATACTATTAGACGACCGAATTCCAGCAATTCCCAAAGGACTGGATACGTCAAGGACTCTCGAGCCTTCAAAAGTCATTTTGCTTCTTGGTCATGATGATCTGGCTTAAAACATGTTGAGATTGGCCATTGAATTGTCTGGGGGCCATGGGTGACTGCATAGCACGAGCTAGACATCCATGCGCCGCCTCACGACACTCCTAGCAATTAACCCCATCTCATCCATCGGAAAAGTCCTCTCGGGTAATACCACTCCTGTCACACATTCCTCGAAATACCCCCGCCTGCTTCCAAAGCTCCAGCGGCGGACCGAGCTCGACAATACGGCCTTGGTCCATGACGCAGACCCGATCGTACAATAGGACGGTACGCAGACGGTGAGCAATAGCGATTAGAGTCTTGCCACTGCTAAGTTCCCGAGCAATTGTCTTTTGCACCAAGACATCAGTCGCGCTGTCCACGCTACTGGTCCCTTCGTCAATGAGTGTGATACGTGCGTTCCTCAAGTGCGCACGCGCCAGGGCCAACAGCTGTCGCTGGCCGAGGGAGTAGTTCAGACCTTCCTCTTCCACAATGGCGTCGAGGGTGATCCGCGTCTCCATGTTGTTCTCTGGAGACTGAGTGGCTGTTTGTATGTCGCGAAGACTATGGTCGGTAGCATCGGATGTTGCGTCTATCGCGAGGCCAGTGGCCTCAGACGGGTCTTCTCCAGGAAGGAGATGAGCCTGACGAAGGGCGTTCCACATTTCAAGATCGCTGTGTCTGCCAAACGGGTCCAGATTCGAACGTATCGTTCCCCGGAACAGCGTAGGGTCTTGTGGAATAATGGCAAGCCTTGAGCGTAGACTGTGCAGGCCAACTTGAGCGATATCGACCCCATCAATCATGATACGGCCACCGCTCAGCTCCGTGAGGCGGAACAGAGTCGAGAGAATGGTGCTCTTGCCGGCACCTGTCCGCCCAACAATGCCGATGCGCTCACCCCCGCGAATCGTCAACGAGAAGTTGTCAAGGACCAGGGGCAGCTCCGGCCTGTATCTCATTTGCACTGATTCAAATACAATCTCGCCGCTCTCTGGCCAGCTTGATCGGAGTCGGAAAGCTGCGTCCTCCTCGAGCGAGGCTTCACGGGCGAGTGAGGATGTGTATTGGTGCAGTCGCTCGGTGCTGGACATGGAGTTGTCGACGTCGGCAAAGTAGCGCACCGTAATCTGTATGATGCCAACCAAACTAAGACTATAACTCAAAATGAGCCCAGTGATGCTAGGCGACACAACCAGCGTCGTAGTCACAGCAAGCATCCCGGTCGTGAAAGACAAAATATTGCCTAGGTTGTCGAGTCGTAGGGACAACCAACGTTGGTTGGCAAAGGTCAAGAAGTAGGCGCCGTCCATGTCGTCGATGGCTCGATGAATATCACGGACATAGTGTTCTTCGCGTCCATACGCTCGTATCGTGGACGCGCCGACGAGTGCCTCGTTGAATTTCGCAAACACGGCCCCGTCGAGAATTGCGTGGTACCGTTTCAACTCTCGGGCACTGCTTCGGTAATACGATACAGCCAGGACTAACACAACTGATACGACGGCCAATGCGATGGCGAACTATATACCCGGCATGTCAGTTTGCTTACAAATAACGGAATCCAACTCGACTGACATAGTGGAAGTAAGCGATAATGAAACCAAACGATCCAAGCAAGGAGCTCAGCACTATGAGGTACTGCCTGAAGGAGTCAGTGAGGCTATTGTCCATTGTATCAACGTCCTTCGTAAATCGATGTATGATGCGACCTAGTGGTGTGGTATCAAAAAACACGATCGGGGCTCGGAGGATCTGCCACATCGCATCGTTAGACATTTTTTGGCTCGCTCTGGTACCCACGATGCAGACGACCATGGAGAAAGCGAAGAGGAGGACGGCTTGCGCGACACCCAGACCAGCGTAGAGTCCAATCTTTGTCCAGTCAGCAAGGAACTCAACGCATGTTCATGATAGGTAGAAAGAGACCCGACGACTCACATATGACGCGCGGGAGAGGCCATAAGCATCCGATACCCACCATGCTAGTGACAGCGACGTCAGCAGGTTTGCAGCTCGGAAGATGCACATGAGGATGAGTACTGCCGCCATGTTCAGAATACTCCCAGAGGACTTCATCCAGACATGGTAGACATTCCAAGGAACGCTGTTGACGGCCTTGACATCTTCTTGCATCAATTTCCTTTTGTCTTCACTGACATAGTCGTTCAGCAATGCTGCGCCTTCCTTAGGAGCACAAGTGCTGTCTTCTATCTCCTCATTTGCTTGCGTCTCGCCAGAGCTCACAGTACCTGACGTTTGCACAAACCTTCGGAAAGAGATTGAGCTTTCCAGAAGACCGTCATACTTATCGAATGCCTCGATGCGGCCATTCGTCATCCATATGACCCTATCACATCGGCGAAGAACTTGCAGTTGATGCGTGACGAGCACACAGCACTTTCCATGCAGAAGACCGCTGATGGCTTGGTTGAAGATGTGATTCCCAACATGTGCATCAACCGCTGAAAGAGGATCATCAAGAAGAACAATTCCAGCATCCGAGTAAATCGCCCTTGCGATGTTCACCCGTTGCTTCTGCCCGCCCGAGAGCGTGATTCCCTTTTCGCCAATTTCGGTAAGGTCGCCATGAGGAAGCAACGCAAAGTCGGCTTCAAGGGCACAGGCGTGGGTGACACGACTGTAGAGCTCCTTATCAAAGCTTCTTCCAAACAAAATGTTTTCCCGGATAGTAGCGTTTTGCAGCCATGCGGACTGCGGACAGTAGGCAACGTTGGAGTTGAACTTCATGGTCCCCTGAACCAGACGCATGTCGTTTGCCAAGGCACTGAGCAGCGACGATTTGCCACAGCCCACCGAACCAACAACTGCTACAAGCTCCTGTGAAGATATTGCAACGGAAATGTTTTCAAGAGAGAATGGTGGTTCGTTGCTCCGCCCTGCCACCTTTTCGCCATCGTATCTGGGCGTACACGTGCTATCAGCCTCTTTTGGCGGGTAGCGGCCTAGTGTTCTGAATCGACGGGTCTTTCGACTTTTAGCTGCAGTCTCTGTCGCTTGTTCCTCGGATCCAGTGGAAGATTTCTCCCAAGTAAAGGTTGCGTTCTGTATCTCGATAGCATGTTTCAGACCGGGCGTTGCACCAGGATGGGCAGGAGACTCTTCAGATAATAGCAATGCTTCAAATCGCTTCAACGCAGCGTCGGCATCAACCAAGTGACCGATGGATGTTGGGAGCCAGTTCATAGGTGTCCGTAGACTGTTGAAAAGCGCCAGCGATGAGAAGATAAGTGCTGGGTCCAGCGGTCCAGAATTCGTGGACGAGTAAACCAAGAAGGCTGCCATGCTGGAAAATATGGGAAGCGCCATCGACGCAGCACCGATGGCACTTTTCGTGATATGTAGGATCTGCAGTGAACTTGTTTCCGAGGCCCTTATTGCCTGGAGGCGATGGAGAAACGCTGATTCCCAGCCAAAGTATTTGACGAAGCGGATGCCATGGAGGATCTCCTGTGTGAGCCCAGCTCTCTGATCTGTGACCATGTTGACGGCGGCTCTCAGACGTGCCAGGACCTTGACCACTTTTGTCAACGCTGTGAGGCCGAGAACAAGCACCGCAACGCCTGCCAGTGCGCTATATCCAAGGTTGATGATTAGCAACGTAATGGTAAGCAGAATGGCAATCGGCGACGTCCACACAAGGTGGAAGGTGGTGCACGATTGCTCAATGCGCGATACGTCGGTGGAAATCAAACTCATGACACGGCTATTAGACCATCCCTCTTTCAAGATTTGCCATCGAAGTTGATCTTGTGCTTGCCCTGTCGAGACCATCGTGGCCTCGGTCATGCCAAGTTCGCCGCCCGCTCTGCCTCGCCTTGAGAGCCGGAGTGACTTGGAAAACGCCACAGCGATTAGCGCACTCCGGCTTTGGCCCCCGAGTAATGTGCTGCGGTAGTGGAAATGGCTCGATGAGAAGCTTTGAATCACCTGCATGGCAGTTATGGCCAGCACGAGGCCGACACCGCGGCCAAGGGGTGGTCGCGAATCTTGTTCGCCCCTGATGAACGAATGGGCATCTCTAGCAAAGATAATCAAGAAACGCAAGGTGAACGGAGCCATGGCCTGCAGAATAGACTCCACAAGTTGACACAGCCCACCAACCCAGAAGTCAAACTTGAAGCAGTTGTGAAGTGCCCACGCAAGTACTGGTAAACCCCAACGGCGTCGGGATCCATGATGTTGCTTGTCGATGATCAGGTTCTCAAAGGACTTCATGAGATTCAGCGCCAGATAGGCGGCGGAACGTGCTTGCGGCACGAGCCAGATATCCTCATACTCCAGTGGCCTCTTGTAACCGGTCTGTAATGTTCGGAGTCAGTGATGCACATCACACAGGAAAACGCCCTTCTGAGCTAGAGAGACAGGCGGGAAATGGAAGGGGGTTGCAAGAAATTACCGTAAGCAGAGGACCGAGCCATGTGAAGAGAAGCTGACTGATGATGCTGGCATTTTCTTCAGGAGACGGTATTCGACTTCTTGGTACGTCGTCTGATGTCCGACGAGTCCTGAAAGGGTTGAAGTGTGCCATGGTGAAAGTGTAAGTTGGTCACTCCCTCTACCACACAGGGCGCGCAATCAGGGGCTGGTAGCTGGCTTCAGGGTAACTCGTGGGGTCGCTGTCTTCCGAAAACTTTCGCCTGTCACGTAAGGTATGTTCAAAAACGCTCGTCAACCCTACTGCCAGACAGCACCTCCCTCTTCCAAATTTCTGACATACTAAACTTTTCACCTTTAGCGAGGTTTGATACATTCCACACATTCATCGTCAGCCTGGTGTTTGCGTGCGATGCCTCAGGATCTGCTGGTAAGTCGGCCGGCCACTGACCAGTGGCACCTGTGCGTACTCAGCAATCGGTCAGGGCCCCAAGAGACAATTCTGTGGATCAATATGGTGAGATTTGCGTTCGCCGAGACCGCTAATTGAGCAAGTTATGACCTTGCATACAGAGCTGTCGCGTTAGCACATTGACCCTGCATGGCCCCCTTGACGAGCGATCTTGCCAACCCCGCACCTGCAATAGGCTCCTGTATGATGCCTGGGAGTATAGGGGGGCTTCTACGTAGGGCGGCCGTTACAGTTGCTGTTACGGATCAGTCCTGCGAGAAAGCAAGATGACGCTGCTACGTGCCGCGATAGCCTGTCGCTTCACCAGGACTCCCAACAGATATTCGAGATAGCGACGGGAGGACTGTTCTCCGAGAAGCGTAGGTAGCTATTTGAGGCCAACATGGGGATATTTTGGCCTCATGTCACTTAATCTGCCGAAACTCGCTGCCTGATAGATCTTTGCGAAAATGACAGTCACACATCTCTTTCCCATTGACCCTGCTACTGCAGTCCAGCACCACATCGGCAAGATCAAGCGAGCTACTGACAGCCTCGAGGGTCTGTATCCCCTTAACTCGATTGACAAGG